TTTAGCCATATTTGGAAATAATGGGCTCTATTAACGTTAAGCTCAAAGCCTTTTATCAGTTCTATTTCTAATGCAATTACATGGACTTAACCCAACTCGTTAAGCTCAGAACCCCCCTTTTGTTCATGTAAATTTCGGCCAACATAATTCCCTGGGTTTAGTCAAATTTGATTCAATTAAGTTCGGAGCCTTTTGAATAAGTCCATTCCACTGCCGGTTCAATTTAAATGCAATTTTTATGAGTTTATCAAATTACTAATGCAATTGCTTCTAATAAACTACATGTAATTAATTGATTTTTGTTCAGGGGCCGAGGTCGATTCATAATTTTCTGTGCAATAACTTCTAAATAAATCGTCAAAATTTAGGTGTCGACAAATAACCTTCACGATGTCGACGATGACTTGGGGACTTGTCGATCCCCTTCAAACTGCCAATTGTTTTGTTCATTGTTGACCAAACTATGCTCTTATAGAATAATTCTGATACTTGTCAATGAAAACCAAAAGTCGGCCATTTTTTTGCGTCAACAAAATATATAGGCATTACGAGTTTATAATCCGATATATTATGTCTCAATTTTTTTCATGATAAATGATAAGAAGATACGACGTGTTATTGCATTGCAAGAATTTGTGTTTTGCCGAGCGATTCCGTGACTGGATGAGAGCAAGAGAGGGAAGAAACTTTTGATTTTCCTTACACGATCCACCACAAAACTTCAGATATTTCATAATCACTGAAATGCCATGCACGTAGGAAAAGTAACGTCCGATTATAGAAGGTTAATAATTTTTTCTCATCAATTTTTAGATTATGATTTCTTTTAATGACTCATGCATTCACAATCTCCTCTTACCATATCTGAAATCACAGAGGATGTATTTAACTATATACCCAAATTTAATATCAAGAAACGTGGAATACTCCATCTTAATGCCTACTGATGAAGGCCATAAATCATCAACCTTTGAAATTTTTATGGTGTGCACATAATTACAATCTCTCTCAAGCATTTCTTTGCCCATCCTCTATACATATACATATAGGCACTCACCATCAAACCCTAAGAAAATATAAGTTTTTGAACGGTTCAATCTCAATGGGAGCCTCTCTCAAATTCCATTTCCTTCTCTGCTTCACTCTGATTCTTGCATCCTCAATTCTATGTAAATCTGCTTCGGATGATGGCTTCACAGTGGAGCTGGTCCACCGGGACTCGCCAAGGTCCCCATACTACAACCCGGTCGACACCCCATACCAACGTATGGCCAATGCGTTTCGCCGATCCATTTCCCGCGTCGACCGTCTCAACCCGAACTCTGTTGCCAAACCGGATACGCCCTCCTCGGTGATTGTCTCGAACAATGGGGAGTACCTTCTGAACCTCACGCTCGGGACCCCACCCGTGACCATCGTGGGGATCGCCGACACGGGGAGCGACCTCATATGGACGCAGTGCAAGCCGTGCACGGATTGCTTTAAGCAAGCAGCCCCGCTTTTCGATCCTCGCAAGTCCTCCACGTACAAGGACATCTCGTGCCACTCGTCGCAGTGCGGAGTGATCGACCAAACCTTCTGCGACGGACGAGCTGGGGTTTGCGGGTATGCCTACACTTATGGTGATAATACATTCACTTTGGGAACCCTAGCCACAGAGACCTTGACCATGGGGTCCTCCTCGGGCCGGCCTGCGATCTTCCCTAAGACGATCTTTGGGTGTGGACACCACAACAGCGGGAACTTCGATGATCGCCTGAGCGGAATCATCGGGCTCGGGGGTGGCAGCACCTCGCTTATATCCCAAATGGGGAAAGCCACTGGCGGGAAATTTTCCTATTGCTTGGTGCCCTACTCGGATCACGGAATCTCTAGCAAATTGAACTTCGGGGCCAATGCCGTGGTCACCGGCAGCGGCGTCGTCTCGACTCCTCTAATCCAGAAGGACACAAAGACTTTCTACTACGTGACCCTAGAAGCGGTAAGTGTCGGCAAGACGAGGATAGAATTCACCTCCGGCAACAGTTCCACTTCCGGGGAAGAAGGAAACATCATCGTTGACTCGGGCACGACCTTCACGCTGCTGCCTCAAGATTTATATACCAAGATTGAAGCCGCCATGGTGAAGTCCGTGAAATTGCCCCGCGTCAGAGACCCATCTCATTTCTCTAGCCTTTGTTACAAGGCCAAGAAAGATGTCCGGCTCAGCATTCCTACCGTGACGTTCCATTTCAAGGGCGCGGACGTGAGGCTGAATTCAGTGAACTCCTTTGTCCGAGTTGTCGACAACGTCATATGCTTCACGGTGATCCCAACCCCGATCCAGATGACTATCTACGGCAACTTGGTGCAGACGAACTACTTGATCGGATACGACACTCAGAATATGAAGTTGTCCTTCAAGCCTGTTGATTGCACCTTGCACTGATTTCTTTCATAGGGTGCGTCTTTTCAATTCATATGGTTTAGGATTGAGTGGTGTGTTCATCTTTGCAAAGAAAACCCTTTCGTTTGAACATACTGAAGATCAATCCTGATGTTGAGTGTATGGGACGTATCCTCTGTACTATAGTCGTTACTGAATAATATTCTCGCGTTCTTGTAAGTAGATAGCTTCGTTGTTTTCCTCCTTTCTCTAGATCATAAGCATTATGAGTCCTTATCAATTCGGGAAAAAAAACCACAAAAACTCCAAACTATGCTGATACATTTACCCAAAATTGTTTTTTGTGACATTAAAAACTTCTAACTATATTCATTGTGACACATTCACCCTCCGTTAAAAAAGTTTCGTCAAATGATTTTTCAGACAAAACAATATCGTTTATATTAAAAAAGTTTCGTCAAATACAAAACAATGCCGTTTATATTTCACTTAAGGTACGTGGGCAAATTTTTGTTTCACAAAACATGTCAACACCGTTTGCCTTTCGGAGTCCATGTATGCAGATTTTTAACAGTACTCAGTGACGGAACTTTGACGGATGATAAATGTGTCACACATATACAAGTTTGAGATTTTTTGTGTCAATTAGAAAAAAGCTTAGAGTAAATGTATCACAGTAAGCATAGTTTTAGATTTCTAATGACTTTTGCCCTATTAATTTCAATATCCACCTATGCTTAAGATAAGCCATCTTTGCAAAATGCACTGATTCACACTATTCAGAGTAATTAGCTATTGAACTAGGAAAGAGGAGTGTTCTATTCATACAGTGTACGGACTCCACATAGACACTGATTTGACTACCGTGTCTTAAAAAGGGTTCTTTTTGTCAAACTAATTAAGAATGAAACCCGTGTGTTACAAAGATGAAAACTTTGGTATCACAGTGTGTCGTAACCAGAGCACTTGATTGGCATGTCGGTTATAAGATACTGTACGAAGCACAGGCCAACCAAGCAGGAACTAAAGCTCCCCTGCATCACTTTAAATGCGGGAGGCTACTATACTTGCTTACCTGACGGTAGCCAGTCAAAGCTGACGTGGAGTTTTTCTTCCTCACCTGCAGGCCCCTAAGTTTCCTCCCTAACCTTTTCTTCCCGGGAGAGAGTGAATACGAAGAGGAGTTCCTTCCCCTATCTCTCCTTGAGCATTTTAAGGACTTGCCCAGGTCCAATATCGAATGTTCTTTCAGTTTTTAGAAAAGATTCTAAATGTGCTTTGGTAGTTGCGCTTCAACTTCTTTGTACTCCTCATCTGGGTTGTATGAATGCTGAGCCAAACAAAAATCTATCAGACTTGACGAAGACACGGTTTCAAGGAGATTTAAAGGACTGATGTAGGCTGGACCATAATAATTATGACTTAGAAACTAAACTCGATGTTCTATAAGTACCTGAACATTCTAAATAAACAGCACTCAGAATAATCAGTGTGGTAAAAGGGAATCGCGGCATGTAATCCTGAACTGGTTTTTAGTCTTCAAACCTGATCTAGGGACAAGATGCTGCTGTCATCAGGAATTGCTAATACAATAACTAACTGAATGAATATTTTATACAAGATGTTGGAGGATAGAACAACCTAGATTAACTTCCTTTCAAATTGTAATTTGGCCAACAAGGAGCAGTGCAGCTGAACTCAAACTTTGTACTTGATAAGAATCGGCCACCACAAAAAAAAGTGACATAAAGAAGTTGCGTACGCAAAATTCCTAGCAACATTAAAAAAAAAAAAAAAAAGGCAACAAAAAAGCGCAACACTGAGGCTAGTGAACCCAAAAACTTGATCCGACCAACAGAAGAAAAACCCAAAAATTTGACAATGGTACAAGAGATTTGGTACATTTTGTACGGATGCCAATTTAGTCATAAACTCTTCAATTTTATTAATTTAGTCCTAAACCTTTGTGTGAACATGTACCTTTTTATCAATTTTTGCCAAAAATCGTTGATGTAGCCGTCATATATGGCACACCACCACGTTAGCGATTTTTGGTAAAAATTCCCCGGAAGGACTTAATTCGAACTTTTGCATAGAGGTTAAGGTTTTTTTTTTGGTAAGGTGCATAGAGGTTAGGGTTTAAATTGGCAAAAATTGAAAATTTTAAAACTGAATTGACATCCGTACAATAAGTTTAGGACTTATCAGGTAATTCTCCCGGTTTTATTGCCTTACGAGAATTCGGGTTTTGCCGAGCGATTAGATCGATTTATCCCTAAACGATCCAGCACAAAGCATTAGATATTTCAGAAACACTGAAACGGCATGCATTGCATGTAGGTAGAGTAGCGTCCGACTATGGTAAGTTCAACATTTTCCTTTCCTCTCTCGAAATGTTTTGGATTACAATGTCCTTTTACGACGCATGCATGCACTTATCTCTCCTCCGACCACCTCTGAATTCAGATGAATCTGTGTTACCAATGAAGGCAATAAATCATCGACCCTTAAGATTCCATCGTCTGCACATAATGGCAGCGTTCCTATATAGAGAGATATGTGCACCCGCCATTGCACCCAGCGAACGCACGGTTCATATCCCACAATCTCCCCAATGGCAGCCTCTCTCAGATTTCATTCTCTTCTTTCCTTCGCTCTGATTCTTGCGTTCTCCATTCCATGCCAATCTGCTCCCGAGTATGGCTTCACCACGGAGCTGGTCCACCGCGACTCGTCGAGGTCCCCGTACTACAACCCGGCTGACACCCCGCATCAACGCGTGGCCAACGCCATCCGCCGGTCTGTTTCCCGAGCCGACCGTCTCGGCCAGAGCTTTGCCAACGCCCCGAGCACGCCCTCCGGGGTGATCGTCTCCAGCAACGGGGAGTACGTTCTGAACGTCTCGCTCGGGACCCCGCCCGTGGCTATCGTGGGGATCGCCGACACCGGGAGCGACCTCATATGGACACAGTGCGAGCCGTGCGATGATTGCTTCAAACAAGCGTCCCCGCTTTTCAACCCTCGCAAGTCCTCGACGTACAAGGACATCTCGTGCAGCGTGTCGCCGTGCAGCACGATCAGCCGAACCTCCTGCGGCAGACGAGGGCTTTGCGAGTATTCGTACTCTTACGGTGATAGGTCATACACTAAGGGAAACATAGCCACAGAGACCTTAACCCTAGGGTCCACCTCCGGCCGGCCGGTGAGCTTCCCCAAGGTGATCTTCGGGTGTGGACACGACAACGGCGGGACCTTCAATGATCGCACGGACGGAATCATCGGGCTCGGGGGCGGCAGCATCTCACTCTTGACCCAATTGGGGACAGCCACCGGCGGGAAATTCTCCTATTGCTTGGTGCCCTATTCCTCGGATCGTGGAAGCTCTAGCAAATTGAACTTCGGGGCCAACGCCGTGGTCGCCGGCCGCGGCGTCGTTTCCACCCCTCTAGTCCAAAAGGACCCAAAGACTTTCTACTTCCTAACCCTTGAAGCGGTAAGCGTCGGCAAGACGAGGATAGAATTCACATCCGATCCCGTGGACGAAGGAAACATCGTCATCGACTCGGGCACGACCTTGACGCTGCTGCCTTATGATTTCTACACCAAGATTGAAGACGTCCTGGGCAAGTTAGTGACTCTGCCCCCGGCGAGCGACCCGTCACAGATCCTTAGCCTTTGTTACCAGGCCAGGGCAGATGTCGGGTCCAGCATTCCCACCATAACGTTCCATTTCAAGGGCGCGGACGTGGAACTGAATGCAGGGAACACCTTTGTTCGAGTCGCCGATGACATCGTATGCTTGGCGTTTGCAACGAGCCTGATGACGATCTACGGCAACTTGGCGCAGATGAACTACTTGATCGGATACGACACTCAGAACAATAAGTTGTCCTTCAAGCCTGTTGATTGCACCTCGTACTGATTTCTTTCATAGGGTGCTGTCTTTTCAATTCATATGGTTTAGGATCGAGTGGTGTCTTTATCTTTGAAAAGAAAAGCCTTTGGCTGAACATGCTGAAGTTGTCCTAGCTGTTACTGAATAATATTCTGTGTTCTTGGAAGTATGATACCTTCTTTGTTTTCTTCCTTTCTCTACATCATATGAATTATCTGTCATTATTCTACTTAGGGATAAGTACACTGAAAAGTCCTAAAATTTATCACGAAAGTCCAATTGAGTTTTAAGACTTTTAAAAAGCGAAATTAGATCCTAAAACTTGTTACGAAAATGCAATTAAGTCATAAAACTTTTAAAAGGTGTAATCACGCAAATCGGGAGAGAGAGAGAGAGAGAGAGAGAGAGAGAGAGAGAGAGAGATTAGGATATTTTTGCCAGAAAGACTATATTGGCCAATCGTCAAAAGGTTTGAGATTAAATTAGCACAATTAAAAGGTTTATGACTAAATTAATAAATTGTCAAAATTTTATAACAAAATCGGTAAAATTAAAAGATTTGGGATTGAATTGGCCTTTGTGCAATAGATGTATAACTTTTTGAACAATTTTCCCTATTTTGTATTTTGGGTAAAAATTGTCCACTTCCGTTTGTAAAAGCACAATATAAACTTTTGTAAGACATGACTTGGCATTCGATAACAAAATTTCGGCTCCGTTTATTTCATGGAGAGTACAATGAAGTAGAAAATATTTTCTACCAGGAAAATGATATAATTTCCCCGTGTTTGGCAAAAATACAAAAACGAGTTGGGAGAATAATTACCACCGTTTAAATTAGGAAATTGATTTGTGTTATCTCTAAAAGAATTAATTTTTCTTTTCTGGAGCACTTTGTTGCATTGCTTGATATATATGCTTTGTTTGATGGTTATGTGTTAGATTGACGCGTCTCCAATTCACGCGAATAACTACTACTTTAGCAAGATCACCGCAATCTTAAGTCATATATTTTTGAGAAATTTTCACAAGCAGTTGGTGGGCTTGTGATCACAAAGCATCACCAATCCAAGTTGATCTTCCAGCTCCACTCATATCCGCAGAACCAACAGTAGAGAGCAAATAAATGAATTTTTATGTATCTTTCACCAGAAAATGGATGAGAGCATGAAGAAATCATGGGGCTCAACAAAATCCAATACAGAGAGAGAGAGAGAGGTGCACATCCAGGCGATGGATGAGAGCTCCTTTGGGTCCGAGATCAAGCAGGTCTGGAATCGGACGTTGTGCCCACAGTTCCCCATGCGGCGGTTGCAGGTGAGGAAGGGGGAGCCACCGATAAAGCTCGCAACCGCGGCAAGGACTGCTTGGAGGTTGAGGTTGAAGTTCATGTCAGAGAGATAGAATTTGGGCGTTTAGTTAGATGACAGAAGTGAGTCTGAGGAGGAGGAGATAGAAGTTGACTGAGTATAGAGAGAGAAGAGGAAGGTGAAGAAGACTGAGAGGAGCTGCCATCAATAGGATTTTGCTTCCATGGAAGATGAGTCATTCCGGTCAGACTTGCTTCATGGAAGAAGCCACTTTGGTAAACCTGTTCCCAATAAGTCGACAAGACGAGCTGTGTTCTTTTGGAAAATAACTTCCTAAACCTAAGTTTTCTTATCTATGGAAGTCATTTTCCAAATGAAAGAACACGACTTCCGATAAGATGTTTTCCTCCAAACAAACACAGCCTTTGGATGCAAACTTGTGACACAAGAAATAGGAGTAGCAAAACTGAAATGAAAAGTAAGGCGGGTTATCTCCGATATTCCCATCTAACGCCGGAGTTGACGAGGGCTGTCACAACAAGCTCCAATGCGTGATAGCGAGCAGTTCTTACAAACGAAGTCCAAAGATCTACATAAAATGTGACAATCCATGTCCAAATCAAACCCACCTAATTTCTTCTTTAGGCCAACAAGCAGCAAGTCCAATATACAAGGAATTGACAATCTTACCAACTATACAAATGTGGTTGCTCTAGCATGAAATCGCATCTCTTTCTAAATAGGAACAAGGCAGTGCAATTTCTTCATAAAATGTGACAATCCATGTCCAAATCAAACCCACCTAATTTCTTCTTTAGGCCAACGAGCAGCAAGTCCGATATACAAGGAATTGACAATCTTACCAACTATACAAATGTGGTGCTCTAGCATGAAATCGCATCTCTTTCTAAATAGGAACAAGGCAGTGCAATTTAGAACTCATTAGCAGAAAACAATAAGAGTAACTTCTCAGTAGACAACTAAATCATGAGAGCACACCCTCACCTCTTTCGCGTGCAATGGAGGCCGAAAGAATACCAAGGTCACGATTTAAGAATGTTAATGCGGATTCACATTCTGAGATTATTCTCGTGACAGAGGAGGGTTCGCCAGAAGCTGTTTCAGACAACCCAACAGCCAGAGCTGCATATGAATCTCTGAGATTCCTCAAGTTACCAAGGAACTGCAGAAAGTTTTAAGTAATGGATAAGGTTAAAGATGCTCAAGGATTGTTGAGTGCATCCAGATATGAGTTAGTCATAGAAACTAATGAAACCTACTAAACTGACAGAACCACTACCATTGCTGAAATTTCTGTATGCAATATTAATCAAGCTCAGGGATTGAACATTATGAATCAATTACTCTAGGTTAGCTCTCAAATGAAATCCCATTAAACGAAGCAAGTATATATAACAAATATCTTTTTTCAAAGTTGAAAGTTCTTAACTTTTGACTATATGCACATACAAAAGTTTTAATCAAAGAGAGAGAGCGAGAGATCCTTGTTGCATAAGTCACAACATCTTGATGCAAAATTGACATGAGAAAACATGCAAAAATTTGAATATATCAACAAGCTTATGCATAACCCACACAAAGCTTCTCTTAAGATTTTGTGATTCAAAATTAACTCCGTGACCAGCTATGGCAATCACAGCATGTGATTTTAGCATGGATAACACACATGCAAGAAAAGTAGATATCTTAACTCTTAACTCATCTAATGTGATGCTTAAACTATCCCTGGTCATACAGACCAAATAAAAACAATACCTGGTGGTAGTTTTCCTGTCATTGATTGGAGAGTACCGGTGTATCTTAGGAAAATAACATATCACTAGAAAACAAGAAAACTTTTGCTCAATAAATATTTCATGCAAACCAAAACTGAGGGCTTTCCAAGTTTTCTACTATTTTCCACATTATCAACATTCAACTCTTGATTCACTTTGCGTAAGATTTAGAAGATCCTATGGCAGAATTCAATGCAGCTAAAAGAAGTGATAGAGTATGTGAGATTCCATCAGATCCTATATTTAAAAAGCATTTGAATACCTTCAGAAGCATCTTGTATGCTTCCAATAAGCGATTAGCTGCTGGTCCAAACCCATGCAGTTGGGGCACCTCCATCATGTGTGTCCAAGGGCGAATTTCCTACAAACAGAAAGTATCACAGATGTGTCCCTGACAAGAGGCCACCTTTGACAGATAGCTTGAAAGAGAGGAAATTAAAAGTATCAAATGAAGGCGAGAAACGATGAAAACCTTGGTATATATCATATTGAATGTTCTCGCAGTTTCTAGAAAAGATTCCAAATGTCCTCGTAGTTGCGCTTCAACTTCTGTGTACTCCTCATCTGGGTTGTAAGCATGCTGAGACAAAGAAAAATCTATAAGACTTAACGAAAAGGTTACAAGGAGAACTTAAAACTGATGAGCACCATAAGAAATATGACTGAGAAATGTTCTAGAAGTGTTTCTAAGAAGAATAAACTAGATATAAATGAGGAAGTCAGAAATATCCAGGAAAACATGAAAAACAGAACATTCCAAAAACTGATCTAGGTCTGTCAAAAAACAAGTACTGATCTGGGGACAAGATGCTGCTGTAAATCAGGAACAAATACATAAAACTATCTGAATAAAAAGTTTGTACAACATGTTAAGAGGATAGAACAACCTAAATTTACTTCCTTGCAATTCTAATTAGGCCAACAAGGAGCAGTATAGCTGAACTCAAACTTTGTACTCAATAAGAGTCAGCCACCAAAAAACACAACATAAATAAATTACTTATGCAGATCCTTGGCTAGCCTATGATGTGTTGAGGGCCTAGAAGATCCATTTAACCTTGACTCTCTCAAAGCCAGGTAATGGAAAGCACAAAGCAGGCCGTTGTTGGAAGGATTAAAGGTATAAATAGAAACTTCATCCTCGTTAAAACAGGCAAGAACTCCAATGTCTACAGTATTACATTATACACATCATAATTGTAAAAGGAAGAGGAGAGAAACTTCACATAGAATAGTGGTAACAAGGGAGCTGTTCCACAGCTAATAATGTGAAGTACATTAAAAACGTATAAACAAATGGCTATGGTAAAGGATATTGGGCAAACCTTTGATGCTAAATCATCAACTTTCTGCTGCAGATTCATGAGTATCTTTGATTGTTCTGAAAGCTTTGTCTCTAACTCCGAAACATCTGGCCTGCAAATGAACTTTGGTTAAAGGAATTCGATTTTACTAAATGAGACTGACAAATTTTCATTCAAATATTCTTTTCATCAATAGAAAGCGGTAATTGCAGTTTACCCTGCTCAAAAATGGCGTCAGGCGCAATTTATCCTGGCCTCATTTTTTCCTATCCTCCCTCCACCCAATTTAAGTCTATCGCAAAACTGAAATTGGCACTCCAAGGCCTACATGCCAAAAACACCCCATTACATAATGGAATTACCCCCTCAACTGCAAAGACCTGCATTGTCCTCCCTATCCTTTCAACATTTGCCATCGGCCTGCTAAAATTCAATTGTGCAGACACTTACCCTATTATTCAACTTATGGTTTCCTTGATGATGTCCTACTTTTCTTGTCAGACATAAGACTATGGGACACACGGTCGACAAGCAGTAATCGAGGCTAAGAAAGACCGAAAAAAGTCAAAACCACCATGTGCAACTTCTTAAAAATAACAAATTCATGAATTGCCTTCACTTATTAATGCTTAGTGTAAAAGATGCAAGTTGGAGTTACTTCAACCTCATTGCGATGTCAAATTAGTACACTCTCAGAGTGCTTACTCAGTCAAGATATAACACCATATTTGTTTGATGAAACTATCTAATTCACAACTTGATGCAACTAATCCGATTCGAACTTGACGTCAGCACCCCTATTTCATAAAAACTGAGAGAATTCTAAAAATCGAGACAAAATTAAAAACAAAACGACAATGCATCAGCAACTCATTGACTACTTGTAACAAACTGAAAGCTCCGGATTATAATTGCCATGATTGAAAGAATAAGGGAAAAATTAAAAACGATTGATGGTCAATGGAAGGGACCTAAAATTATATATAAGAGTACTGATCGTTATCTTCAAGTTTGAATTAGCTATTTGCAACAAGCTTAGACATTAGGAGGCAATTGCAAAAATCAAACTAGGATTTAGTTCACCACATACTTCAGGGCAGAAGAACTGCATTCTAGCAAGTAACCGAAAAATTGTGACACAATCAGGCGAACAAGAAGAGGATGTCTTACAATGGATATATAGATTGAATCTGAACGTCAGCAGGGAACAGCTTGCACTCCTCCGAAAAAATCTGAGCTTGCTTTTCTGCGATAGAATCTATTAGTTGAATATCTTTTGCTGCTTGCTCATCCACACTGCAAAAGACAATATCAAACGCCAATTCAGAAGACGAAGTTGCTGGCCAGGACATTTTTCAACATTCAATCGGTGTCCGTATAAAAAGATCTTGTGCATATTCCCTAGAGATTAGTGAGCCAATCCCTGGATACTCCATTTCTAGAGATTTTTAATTAATTTCAAGTGTCTTAATAATCTTGTGGGACGGCTATTTTAGGGTTAAAATCCAGTTAACATTCAACCAACAAAGCCCACCTCCACTCGGGATTATCAGCATAGATGCTCGCCTCAACAAGATCCACAATTAGCTGAAGCATTTCAGTGCGATCTTCATAAGTACCTCTTCCCTGCAACAAAACCGCATCTCATTCATCAGAAGCTAAAATAGAAGTACTTCAAATGTTGCTAAGCCGAATTGCTAGACAAGACAAATGCAACAACAATCATTCCAGGGATTCTTTAACTAGAAAATTGTGTTTACCCAACTTAAAATGGATAAATGATGCTCCTTAATATATGTAATACTGCACCAATATTATGATTGATGAAACAGCAGTGCGAATTATTGTTTGTATAGTCCTACATCAGTATAGTCCAAGCATTTAGTGAATTAAACCCTTAGACAGATATTATCAAAATCTAATGATTCTCAATTAAACTCATACAATTGAATTAAGCCCACATGTTCTTGATCATACCTCGACGCGCTCTTCTCAATGCTAGGTATTATGGTAATTAACAAATATAGATGAAGACATTCACATGTTCTATCCTTCGGAAGAAACCAATGTCCAGATGAATAATCGCTTTAAAACGAATTTATCTGTCAGAGGATGCGGTATAAACTGAGCAGAAGAACACAAGAAGATCCATTTAGCCAACCCACCAGGAGAGAAAAGGTTCTGCTCCTCTCCTTCTGTTTAGACCGTGTAGCCCTAGACATATATTCAATAAATCACAGTGGAAAGCCAAACTCTTTCAATAAGAAGTATGCACGCTAGCCTGACAGTACAGGTTCATCCTTGCCCAGCACACTAAAGCTAGCGAACACACATCCTTACAACATGCACAACCAGACAGCAGACTCTATTAGCATATACACGTCACATACGTCCACGCACTCCCCCAACATCCACATGCGCACACTTCACTCGCACGCGGTGTGCACACATCCGAGCACAGACAACCCCAACATAGGCACGAGCATATGCATAACCATGCGCATGCATTGACAGTCACCTCTCCTCATCTCCAAAGCAAACTGCTTCAGCATGACTGACTTTGCGACGCACGGATCGATCCATGGAAAGCCAGAACTACAGACGTCAAAAATTCAGAACGTCCTAGCACTTCATAAGAATCCCGATGCCACATAATTTGGAAAGCCCCCAATTTTTCCGCGTTTCGTAGGTTAAATTTAAACAAACTCAACAACGGTAATCGCGGGCCTTAGCCCTGCCTCATTGCTCAAGAAATCATCTAATGCATTAGGAATTTTAATTTTGGAACTTGCTCATCTGTGTACTAATTTAGAAAAAAAAAAACTTTATTTATTTATTATTATTATTTTTTTTTTTATGAGCCAGGAACCCCGCACTGCCGACAGCCGGGAGGTAATTATCGTAGCAGCTCTGCACAAGAATTTCGACATGGCGAGAACGATTTACCAACACGATGCAGATAAGTCTACAGCCACCAAATTGATCAAATGGGTAACGACCAGATGGCTCGTTCATCAAAACCAAGAGAAGAAGATCGACAACCAACCTGTACCACCTCCGTGTCCACGGTGGTCGTTATGCCCAGGAACTTCGCGATCTCCGCCAAATCTGCGCGACCCAGAGGCATTAAAAGAAAAGGGGGCCCCAGCGAATTGCAAAAGCCACAGCGCGAAGCGGCCGTGAAATGTTCGAAAATTGAAGAGGTGGGGAGGTGGGGAGGGGAGGGGGGAGAGGGAAGGGGCGCGCACATTGTATGCGGGAGGTCTCCTCGTCGCGATCCATGGCGTCGCCCTGCAGGTTTTGCTGCGAGAACGGGGACTTGTCGCCCAAGAGCCTGCGGAATTGCCCCCCGGGGGCAAGGAGCGCGAAAAGGAGCTTGAGCGATGCGTGACAGTTGGATTCGATTCGTGGAGATGAAGAGGTGGGAAGGTGGACGGACGGACCTGAAGAAGAGCCATTCGAGGAGGGCGTAGCGCTCCATGCCGGCGAAGAGGAGGGACTGGGCGGGGGCGTTGGCCCTGGGGTAGCTCAGCATCGCCAGCTTCCTCTGTATCTCCTCCATTTGCTTCGCTGCCATCTTCCTCTTCCTTCTCCTTCTCTCTCTCTCTTCTGCGCGCGGTCTGGGAGGAGTGATCGGAGAATCGGACGGCGGCTCCGGTCCTTCCTTTTGAGGAGGAGGAGGAGGAGGGAGGAAGCCGTTAGGTGGCCCGGCCCCTCCACGTCACCGTCCAGGGCCGGCCCCGCCAGGCCGGACCGTGATGCCACGTGTCGGTCCGGTCCCACCTTCTTTTTATTCAAATTTCACTCTTCCCCCCCCCCCCCCCCCCCCTCTCGCTCTCTCTCCCGAACCCGATATTATCCGCAAAATACTTAAGGATAATGATGCGAACGGTCCCGAACTTTAATTCGATGTGTAATGTGGTCGCTGAATTTTTAATTTATTTAATATGAATCCTGAACTTTTAATTTATTCAATGTGATCCCTGAATTTTTATAGATGTTCGATATACTACATTGAACATCACATCGCCATCTTCGCTCTCCATCTCTACTGCGCCTGGTCCCTTCCACTTGTTGCTCATTTACTAGCCTTCAACACTCCTCGCGGCTCGCGCGCCTTTCGCTCGCTCGAGATCCTTTCCCTTTCCGAGATTTAGGGCTCGTTTGGTTCAACTTTGGGGGAATGTATTTAGGGGAATGCAAATACCTTTGGGCTAAAGAAGTTTTCCGAAATGCAAGTAGTATTTGGTAAGTATTTTTTAAAATCAACTTGGGCTAAAGGACTTTAAGGTCCCTTAGGGAGCATTCCAAATGAAATTGCATTTTCCCAAAGTGAGTAAAAAAAATTGCCAAACGCCATTTACATTTGGCCAAGCGACTTTAGAGCCCAAATGAGCATTGGGAATGCTGAACCAAACGGGGCATTAATCAGCTCAATGCTTTGGATGCGTATTCACAAAACTCTCTTTAATGAATGTTATCTATTTTTTCCAAGCAAAAACAGAAAAAGAAAATCCTTTCCTTTTCCCTTTCTATCGATTGAGTTGGATCTGGGTCGGGTATTCGTCGGTAAACTTTTATTGCATAAGAGCGGGTCAATTTAGGTCGGACCCATTTCCGACCCACTAAAAACCGACTTGACTCACCCATTTCACGGTCTAGGGCTAACCAATACATGATCCTGGCCTTTTAGTAACTTTCTCTGATTCTGCACATAAAGGCTTCAGTCTTGCTGCTAATCCCCAATCCCTTGTCATTGTTCTTCTACCAGGAAAAGAACATTGGCGATTTCATTCCTGAAGATTGAAAGTCCATATACTTAGACATGCAGATTAGTCGGTCAGTCGCTACGATCACCATAATCCCTGAGAAATCTCATTCTTTTTAGTCATCGTTTACCATTGTTACATGTACAGAATTTACACCATGCTTTTCATCACATATGGCTAGCCTTTCTGGAAATGAGCAAGATGCCCACTTCATCAGTTCATATCATTCTGCGTCAGCGAGCAACCGCGAATCGCATAACACGGTCAAACGACGTATTCTGAGAGTATTTTCAATTATTTCGAGAGCGCAAATTCGTACCCGATTCCAAAGTGACAATCTGAAGTCTACAAAAAGTAACAAAAGCTACAGCTTCAGCACCCACAAACTTGTCTTACATACCTTTCGAGGCGCCAAAATAAAGGTACAGACCAAAGATCTCAGACTTGGATTCAAAAGAATAATGTAACAAGGTCAGTGACTTACCGAGTCCACTACAGGTACATGAACAGAAAACAATTTGAGACCTTGGTTCATGCTGTTGTAGGCCTGTCGTGAAATCGAAATGCTTTAATATTTTCTCCTCGGCGTGTATGCATCCTGAGATGTTGCCTGTCCAGGGGGGGTCTTCGCCGCAAAACTGCATCGCAGCAAATGGAAGATAGCCTGGCATAGGTTATCGGATTCCACTTAATTACAGTGACATGGAAATCACACCGCATAGCACGCAAGTAAAAAGGACACATTTTTAGTTATTCTTCTCAGCAAGAGAGTTGGATATCAACTAGGAATAAACCATTGCCGTAAGGCACAAGAAGTCATCAAGTCAGTTTAATTCTGCAGAGTTCATGAACACAGACTGGCCCATGGCTTAGCTCATGTTCAAAGTTACATTAGGGAATGCTCAAATTGCAGCCAATTCACCGTTGATCAAATAAGATAGCCAGACAAAATACAAGATCTGCAGGAAAAAACGGACCATTGCATCCATTCCTTCTATTCAGTTTGCAGCATCCTCTACCGACGCATACTTCACAAAGCCAAATCCTCTTGAGTACCCGGAATTGCAATCTGTACCTACTTTGGCTGTATAAACACAAAGCTTCTTGTGTTAATAGCTTGATTTCCATTGACTCACTGTCGAGGGCAAGGATGGGGAAAACAGGCACACACTTCGCCCTAGTGCTTCGAGTGTTTCCAGATTGGGGTGGTCATAAATACATGGAAAGGAGACCGAAAGTTAAGAAAAAGAGGCTGAAGAGGTCAAGAACACGGGAATGCAGTCATTGACTGAATGGACAAATTTCAACAGAACATTCCTTTTTCTCTTGTAAGCTCTCCCCGGATCCATCTACGTACTTTTTTGTCCGTTTACAGAACGGAAACCGGCTACTCCGCGAGGTGCGTCGGTCACTAGCTATGGTTACACACAATTACGCATGTCAGTACATGCACGCCGGAGTATCAATGCACGCCGGAGTGTCAGTACTTTGAATCTTAATATATTACTTGTCAGCTATACATGGTGTTTCAAGACATACAATCAAGGTAGATTAACTGGTCAGGGCGGGACTAATCTCGAGCCCGAGTCACACCTTCAATTGCTCTGCCCTAAAAGCGCATTTTTCACTAGGAAAATTTCCCCCCCCCCCTTCCGGGTAGGGCATCGAGGGGCGCGCCTGTGCTGTTCCCTAATTACATCTGGAGTAATTTTTTATCGGTAAAAAGAATGGTAAGGGGTGATCAGAGTCTATGTTACTGTAGGAGTTCTATACCCACAACATATCGTATGATTTGAGTCATAACTGCTGATCATTTTCAGCGAACCTGCCACCACTGTCTCATCATAACATAATGATGAGGCGGGGCGGGGCTAATATTAGGTCAGCCTCATACCGTCAATTGCTTCGCCCCATAGGGCATTTTCACGAGGAAAGTTTGCCCCGCTAGCTCATCGTAACAGAATAATGAGGCGGGGTGGGACTAATACCGGCCACCCTCGTAGCATCAATTGCTCCACCCCATAGGGCATTTTTCACAAGGATTTGCCTCATGCCAGGTCTCATGGTGCAAATTTCCCAGGCCTCATGCCTATCCCTAATTATATATGGAGTCATTTGTTATCAGTAAAATGGATAGGGAGGGACAACCAGCTCTGCAATCCCTGCACATTATTGTAGGAGTTTCACACCCATGATAGAATGTACGGTTTTGAGCTTTAACTGCCGTACATTTTGAGCGACTCGTCTCTACTCTCTATCGCCTCATCAAGGTGAACCATGATTATTCTATACCATGGCGTGGTCGAACCAATGTTGCAGATGGAAAAATGCTTGTCGAAGCCAAGAAGCGACCGAAGTTTCAAATTTGTAATCGGGGGATCCCAAACCACTTGGGAGTAATCCCTGTACCACTAAACCAACCATCACGGCCATATGGAGTCAATTATTAGGAGAACAGATCTAGCTTCCAACATCAAGAACCTGGAATTCGGTTAGGTCCAGTTGGTCCTCAGTTTCAATCTTTGAACTGCTTGTCAACCCGAGTTTCGGCCTGACAAGGAGCGTTGACTTGGTTTTATTCCTGTTCCTTTATAAAAAGAAGAAGTATGCATCTACTAAAGTCCAAAGCATTATATGGAAACAAGCTCACATAATGACTTAGACCAAGAGTACTTCTCGTGCTTTTTCGACACGAACTTGTACAACATAATCGTACCTTCAGCTTCTCAGAAATGAATTACAACAATTTGAGGACTTCATAATTGTCGTGATTCATTTCTTGGTTTCGGTTTTCCATAGTCGAGACACGTCTCTTCTTGCCGATAAAACAAGGGCAGGAGGAAGCAATCGGCATCGTTGCCTCCCCCCTAGGCTTCGCCATGGGGATTACGTGCCCCACCACAGAATGTCCGGCTTAGAACTCCGCGCGAATCGGACCCTGCATCCTCCCCTCTAGACCCATCGTGCACTAGGATCCCAGGTCGATCTCCGAAGAACATGTTACGACCGTTTTCGTACGTAGCTACGGCGGTAAGTTGCAACGGTAAAAGTGACCGGTCCCGACCTACCAATCTCTGTCTGCGCACGCGCGGCCGAGGAAAAACTGGTGCCCTCTGCCGAGAAAGGCTCGTCAAAACTATCTTCCTGAGCCATAAAAATCTCAAGAACTTCACCTCTTCTCCCCCGTCCTAACTTCGCACTTGCAGACCCTATACTCTCTCTCTCTCTCTCGCTCTCTCTCTTCGTCGCATCACAGCTTCAAGAAATGCTCAGCATGAATCTCTCTCTACCCCCTGCCGTCGCTGTCTCCAAATCCAGCCGCCGCTATCGCCCCATGAATGCCCACGCCCTTCTCGGCAGAAGCGGCGGCACGCCCTCGTTCCCGTCTTGTCTTCTTGGCGGCGGCGGCGGCGGAGACGGCGGAGCTCCGGTTCTTGGCATCGGATCGAAATCTCTCGGCTCCGCCGGGATTCGCGCGCACCCATTTGGGTTGTCTTCGCGACCCTGTTCTCAGATCCAAGATCCGAGCTCAAAGACGTCGGCTTTGGATCGAACCGTTTCGCTCCGTCGTGGGTTTCCTTCAAGAACCGGATCTCTGGTCCCCAAAGCGGCGTCCGAGGCCAGCCCGGAGGGCGAGGCCGAAGCCGAAGCCGAAGCCGCGGTTTCGAAGAAGAGCAAGACCCTCCAGCTCGCCGTCGTCTTCGGGCTCTGGTACTTCCAGAACATAGTGTTCAACATCTACAACAAGAAGGCCTTGAACGTGTTCCCGTACCCTTGGTTCCTCGCGTCCTTCCAGCTGTTCGTCGGCTCCGTTTGGATGCTCGTTCTCTGGTCCCTGAAATTGCAGCCTTGTCCTAAAATCTCCAAGCCCTTCATCGTCGCATTGCTTGGGCCCGCCCTGTTCCACACCGTAGGGCACATTTCGGCTTGCGTGTCGTTCTCGAAGGTGGCCGTGTCGTTCACGCACGTCATCAAATCGGCCGAGCCCGTTTTCTCGGTCGTCTTCTCTTCGTTTCTGGGCGATTCGTACCCTTTGGCTGTGTGGCTTTCGATTCTTCCAATCGTGTTTGGTTGCTCGCTTGCTGCGGTCACTGAAGTTTCTTTCAATTTTGGAGGCTTGTCGGGTGCCATGATTAGTAATGTCGGGTTTGTGCTGAGAAACATATACTCCAAGAAGAGCTTGCAGAATTTCAAAGAAGTGAATGGGTTGAACTTGTATGGATGGATTACTATACTTTCGTTGTTCTATCTGTTTCCGGTTGCGGTTTTCGTCGAAGGAGCTCAATGGGTGCAAGGTTACCACAAGGCAATCGAAGCTGTTGGACAATCATCCACATTTTACTTTTGGGTGTTGCTGTCTGGTGTGTTTTACCATCTTTACAACCAATCCTCCTATCAAGCCCTCGACGATATTAGCCCGCTGACTTTCTCTGTCGGAAATACAATGAAGAGAGTGGTGGTGATTGTGTCGACTGTTTTGGTGTTCAGGAACCCAGTTCGGCCCTTGAATGCGCTCGGATCTGCCATCGCTATATTCGGGACTTTCCTGTATAGCCAGGCAACATCTGCCAAGAAAGCTAAGAATCAAGGAGGTGAAAAGAAGAGTTAGATTTTGAAATGGTCAGTCTCTGCCTGTAACTTTTTCAGTCTCTAGCCTTTGATTGTATTTGCAGTCATCTTTAGTTTTGCTTTGCAAGACCATGATAGTCAAATAAAATTCTGATACATTTTGTCCCTGAGATGTGTTTTTGGCACAAAGTTGGTTGCCAGGCGCCTGTTTGAATTGCTTAAGAATCTGCTGATTATATGGATTCATGGATTGTAATGTCGCCTTTGAGCAAATCGAATAGCATCTTGTGAACTGATTCATTTATGCAATGACAATGTTGGATTGATCTTTGACTTGAAGTGTATATGATATGGTGTCCGACTGCATCTTGACAGAGGGTCACCACCAGTATTATCTCCTCGACTTGGTTGAATTTAAATTGCCAAAGTAACATTGGGACTACTAGGGGATTTGACTTCTAAAGCAACGATTTGGTCAAAAAAGATTTGTATACTTTCATGCAGTGAGGCCTACATCCACACGAAGCCAGCTACTCAAGAAGATACCGCTTGATTTCGAAGATGATCTCGATATCAGTCTGTGAGAAATGCGATTTGTGCGTCTCTGCTCAAGCCATGGCTGCATAAGATACGCAGTTCAGCTTCTCTTTTACGATTTCACAACAGAGCCGGAAACCTCGTCCTTATACGCATTTCATGGTGATTCGGTGCATACAAAGAACTCGTTGTTCGAGTGTTGTTTATGCTGTAAGCGATTGGTTTGTCGTGTCTGAAACAGAAGGACGCCTTATCGAAGAGGATAACATTTTTCCTAGAAAAAATGATTTCACGTAAAGTATCTTCTTTCTCGAAACGAACCCACCCTAAAGCATTATCCTTTAATTTTTAACTTATCGTTTTCATATTTAACCTCCCATTTACCAAAAAAAAAAAGGGAGAAAAATTAGGGTGATAAAAAATCTGAGCGAAAAAGTTTAATGATTTCGACACTTTTATGAGAGAAGAGAAGGAAAATTTTGAAATTTGTCATATTCTCTCTCCAAATTTTCTTCCCCTTGGTGTCCCAAATATAGCATATATAAAAGAGCCTTTATAAAAACGCACTAAAATCTTCCGGAATGCATGTAAACATATAAAAAAAAACAATCTTAAATAATTTATAGTTTGTTCGTAAATAAAATAATTAGTATTATTTTCACGGGAATTTAAGTATACATTAATTTAATTGACTCAAAGCCTAATTATAAAAATAAATATTACATCTTCGATTTGTTTTATGTAATCATGGCCATTAAAATGCGGGGGCTTCGTAACAGCAACACGCGTCCTCTGCCCCGTGCCGTCCGCCCACCGCGCTCGGCTCGACGGCTCGACGGCGCTCCTCGTCCTCCGACGACGACGACTCCGGCGGCGGCGACCGGTCGTGAGTTCCAGGGAGAGGGAGAAGCTGAAGCCACTAGCCGGCGATCCCTCTTCTCCGCCTACGGCACGAACTGCGCTCGACCCACAAAGGTACTTCTTGCGCCCTCGGCTCAGCTCGTCTTCCCGTTCCCGCATTTTCTGCGGATCTCTTCGGGGTCAAGAACGTCGACGCGAGACCCTTTTGTCCCGGCGTGCTTAGAATGCTCGACCGAAAACGTAAGAGGGTAGGCGAAGAGACGCGAAATCGATGTTGGGTCCGTTTGAAATTCCATGGACAGGCGGCGTGGGGAGAGGGAGAGGGAGAGGGAGACTTTTGAACGCTGCATTGGCTTGCAAAGCCAGAGCACGGCGCGTGAGAGATGAGAGGGGGCTGAGGCGGGACCTGGGTCGGTTCTGGTATGGTATTAGAAAGCCTTAACCCAGTTTGAAACCGGACCCGTGGTTGTGGAATTTTTAAACGCTGGTTCGATTACTGTGGAAGTGCGTCTGTACTAGCAAGCATGGTGTTAGTGGCATGAGTAATTGGACTGTTTTCAGTTGCCTGAATCACTATGTTCGGGGGTTACGATGGATGATTGATGAAATGTTATGAGCAATTGCATTGTGTTGAGCTCTGTTGACTTGGTTTGATTTATGCTTCCTCGAAAGGTTCTTGCGATTCGGTCCTCTTGTTATGTTCCTGCTCATAGTTTCCGTATGCTTATGCTGATCTGCAGTAGAAGAATTTCTTAGCAGCTTCATGTCGCGGGTGTGCTCTCGCTTCCCTTGCGAAGCCAATATGAGTGGAGGTCAAGAAGATGACTACTGGCCGCTCTCGGGGAAACCGTTCTTCGATATGATTCTTTCAAAGTCGCATGTTCATCCCCGTTATAATCTGGTAACAATCGGTGGTGTCATATGTGGTTCTGGGATGATAGTGGGTTGATGATAAATGCTGCTTTTAAATGGAAATTTCTCAAGGTTGTGATGTTATGTAATCCTTACGAGATGCATTGGGAATCTTCAAGCCGTGATATCTCTTTGTCTTAGCCCTTTCTTGTGATCGATATTAGTTATAGTAGCCACCAGTTATTGTTTTTGCTTCCTCTTGCATTTCATCTGTCATGTAATTGCACAGTCATTTCTCTGCTGTAAAAAGAATTTGTTTCACTAGAAAACTCATACTCCGCTTTCTGTTTCTCTAATGGTCCTTGAGTTATTGGTAAGAGCTCAATTCAAAGGGGGAGGTTCTCTTGCTTGAATATTCTTCAGTATGTACTGGCACTACGCTATTGACTTGATCCCTGGGCTGGTCTGTGTGGTCTTCCTTTGTTATACAGTTCATTCCTTCCAGGATGCATCCGCTGCTGCCTTCACAGGACACACGAGCGGTTCTCGCTTATAAGGACAAGACATGGGATGTTATGCTGTTTACGAAAGGGAAAAGGTTCGATTACAGTTGGAGACAATTTGTAGACGACAATCATCTTAAGACTGGGGATGCATGTGTATTTGAACTCGTAGAATGCCTAAGCACAAAAGTGACCTTCAAGGTTCAAATTCTCAGAGGTGACTTCCCAGCTGATTTGCTGGCCAAGGTCAGTGGTGAGACAGCAGGTGCTCCCATCGTCATTGAGTAGGAAAGCCCTTATGTCGGCTAGATGTATCTTTTACTGCCTCATGTACAGCATTACTATCCTGATAATGCCGCTCTTGGCTTTTTAGCTGCTGGCATATCTTGTTTCAGTTGTTAGTGTAACAGAACTTTTCAAGGAGAATTTACTGATCTTGTTACACATTGTAAAGAAATACGTCCTGTCCTTCTACTCAACCTTATTAAACTGTCTTCTCCTTATCTTTTAACAGCTGTTGGGATAATGGTTTGTATTGATTGATTGAGCATTTAACAGTGTCCATGAGGAACGCCAGCCATCAAGCTTGTTCTACTGATACTTTCTGAACTTGAAAAGAAATATCTGGGTGTTTTTGTGTTGATTTTGCAACTCGATAGGAAGGATGATTAGTTCTATATGATTTGTTATCATTTGCATTAGACAGTTCAATTCTCCCAAGTAAAATCACAGAGGATGTTAATTAGGCTCTGTTATTTCTGAGACCATGGTTACACAGAATTCTAGTGCTAAATAAATTTGACTAAGGAATGGGCAGCTGGTCATGCAGCTCCACAGTAGTGTGGCTCACTAGGAGATCTGAGGGCTGTCACCCGTAAACTTTCTCACTCATCCTGGTATTTATACATGGTTGAGTTGATTTCTCCATCACCCCAAGGGGGATGAGGATTTTTCAATCGTGTTTCGTTGAGCTGGCTATATCCATCACTTTTGTATATTCTACTGCATCAAAAATTTCTTCACATGCAGGAGCTAAGAAAATTCTCTCCTATTTCTGTTCCTCTCAAACCGGTCATAAGCAGGCTTGGTTCGTAGGAAGAGCAATATGCTGGAAGCTAGACCCACCATTGAAATACAGGCCCACCATATAAATGTCTGCTGATAACATTTCCTACCCATGCATATCGTAGCATCACCAAGCAAGCTTTCGCGCGCTGTGGTCTCTGCACCAGCGTCATACACGAGAGCTGCAAGAAGGCCGTAGAGGAGTGAACCTATTGGAATGTTGGTGATAAGGATGTTGTGGTTGACCCCAGCACTATTTGGCCCAAACAACTCGGATGTGACTGAGACTGCAGCAGAGAATACGAAGCCGGAGCTGAGCCCAATCATGCCGGTACTAGTGCGCAGAATTGTCTCACTACCTGATGTGGCAAGCAAAATGAAAGCGATTGGTGTTGGAACGAGTGCTATGGCAAGCCACCCAGTCCTTGCAAAGTATATCTTGCTGCAATTAGGAACATGGACAAGGTCAGTTGACATATAATCGAGAACTTCTTCATGTTGAAACATGCGCAGCCTACCTCCCTTAATGACCTTCCGAAATTGCACTTATGTTATTATGGCGTATGTGCTAAGTTTATGGTCTTTTGGAGTAGCTAAATGATTCATACATGCACAAACCAAGAAACAGAACTTTTCTCTTCATATTAATGCATTTCTATGGGTTCTTAACGAGTCCAATACATGCGTAACAGTGAATAGTAAATGTCTTCTAGTTAGTACGTACTCACGGAGGAAGTCTGGACCAGCTGAAAGCAGACGGCCAAAGAAAGAGCAAGATGAGTAGAGAGTGACAAATGCACTAGTCTGAGCGCCGAATCCAAGTGATTGCGAAATTTGCCCTAGATTGTTGCTGTACACCAACCCAATTGTTCCCCCACACAAATAAGCCAGATAGTATAACCAGAAGTCCCAGCGACACACAAGCAACCTAGCCGAGTGCTCCTCGCCCAATACTGTCAACTGATCCTTTTCCATCACATTTCCACAACACCCATCTTTAGCTCGTAGAATGAATGTACTTGTGTTCCCATTCCCGTTCATTGCAGCATGGACCCCTGCTGGTTCGCTTCCAATCAGTTCCTTATGAAGCTCAAGGTCATCAACATCTACAAGACTGAAAGTTGACCCATTGAGACTTAAGCTTGAACTGATAACACGACGGGCCCAGTCTCGAGCATATACTATGCCAGGGAGGCACAGGGGAAGGACAAGGAGGAGAATGGCCCCCACCAGGAAGAGACGTGCTCGGTTTGAATTATAAGAGAGTGGGTTGAGTAGGAGGAGGTAAAGGCCTGTGAGGACAGCAACACCATTGAGAAAGAGGAAGATGCGTGAATCATGTTTAATGGCATCAGGTGGGAGCTCCTGAGGCGGCGGTTGGCGGAGGACAGGGATCAGGGCGACACCCGACGTAAAGAGAGGGACAATGGCGTTTAGGAAGGGATAGAGGGTGTCGTCATCGGAGTTTATTGCATTGGCTATGAGAGTGTATATTGCAGCACTTACGCCGTTGAAACTGATGGTGAGGGCTAATGCTAGTGCCCTGTTTGATTGGAAGTTCCCGATGCACAGAACGTAGCATACCGTGTTGAACCAGCAGATGCTACAACCAGCCATCAAAGACAGGAAAAATACCTGCATCATTCAAAATGCAATGACATTAGCTTCCTTCTCGGGGGAACAGACTAAGTCTTTAACAGGTATGGTCCTTGCCATCCAACTCTTCCTTTGCTGTCTTTTTAAGTTCCCTCTGCCCTTGCTATTATTAAGTCCATGCTCACATAGTTTATACGATTCTATTATACATCCATAAATGGCATACACGAGGTCATGCGGCTTCAGATGAGACAAAGCATGGTTAAAGTTTCTTGAGATCATTATTGGGTCCTCAACTACAGACAGATCCTACGAGGCTTTAGAGAATAAACTACAGTTGATGTCGGCATTCCTCTTAAAAGATGCATGAAGATACATCTTTTGGACCATGAGCCTTTTCTGAGGAATGGCAGATGAGAATGGCAAATGCCTCGCTAAAAGTCACATCCTCTTTATCATGGGTACTCCAAGAATTTTTGGTTCATTTGCCTCCCTATTGATATATAGATGCAAAACGCAGATCGAAAAAGCAATCTACATCCAGTGATTCATGGCATTAATACAGATGAGGGGTAAAGCTGAACATTGTGTTGGCAAGGCAGGCTTCCATAGCCATAATAGGAATGAGATTATGTATTTGCTCACACAGATAAGCGTCTAATCAGACAAAGGGTTGTCTTGCCAACTTGATTTAACTAAAGGTGTGCTACAGTGCGTCGAGTCGAGGTTGAGCATAAATCGACATGGTGTTCACGTGCACAGTCATCCATGATGGTTGGAACTCTAAACTGACCCTGTTGTTAGTACTCTAAATCCATATTCATGGTGATTATGTAGGACGTATGAATCTATCCCAGGTTCAATTTTTGCTTCACATGGACAATGCCTTTGGTAGAAACGAAAACCGTATGCCAAGCGACAATGATTTCAAAGAATATTAGTTGTAGCTTGTCAAGTGACGGATGGACACTTTGAAATGTTATTTATACTAGGATAGATATAGCTATCAACTTCATTTGCCCCAACCAACGCTAATCTACTTAAATTACCCCAAACTGGGGCAAGTTGGAGGTGGTTGACCCTATCCAAACCCGAACCCACCAAGTCCGATCGAATCCCGAACCCAACTCAAATCCGAGGGAAACCTGAAACCACCTCAAACGAGAAGACGGGAACCTCTAATCCGATTGGAACTCACTCAATTGAAACTTTCTCCCAGCATATATTCTGAACCGGATAATGTCATTTCATGAATTAAATGATAAATCTATCTTGACATATACAATAACTACTGTCATATATGTTGTTCTGTTTATGTTTAATTAAAGACAGCAACATATACATAACCTTGTAGGTTTCAAAGGAACGGGAGAATCATCATGGACTTGTCGGGTTCGGGTTTTATGTTACCCACCGTTCGAATCCCAAATCTTTAAAGGTCGGACGAGTCGGGCGCCCGATTTAAGCTCAAACCCGGCTTTTTTTTTCGTCGCTAAGAACATACCAACTTGTGTTTGGCGTAAATGTCCTGACGCTGACTTCGGGCTCATATTCTACTCAGGAACAGAAAATGACACGATGTGCCGTTGTCCACCAAAACTTCGGCTTCGACTTCGACTTCGTTCCATCTAATTCAACACCCGATGGTCCACACGATACAGCCGTTGAAATAGATAAGATGTGTCGTTGTCTAACTATTACGTCTTAGCCAATTAATCCATTGATCAGATAGACTTAGCGACTAAGGCAGGGAAAACAGAGCACAGGTTACGTTCGCGGTTGTGAATGCGACCTTTGTGTACGAGGGAGGTTCACTCGTTCTCAAGGGCTACGTCCCCAGCGTTTCATTGTCTTTCCTAGCATTCAGGACGAACCAGTGACGCAGAACAACTCGAGCAAAAAAAGGAAAAAAAAAAAATAAAGAAGGAAGAACGAAAAGGAAAAGAAAGAGAAAAAAATTGCGAGGAAGTCGATCACGATCGACCCTCGGTGTATTAGGAATCTGGGAATCTGCATTTTCATGGCGTCAAGGAAGCTACGTGCCCGTCTATCCGAAAACGAGAATGCAAATGGCGAAAGCAAGTAACAAAAAGGGAAGAAGAAGGAGGGGAGGGGAGGACGCGGACCAGGAAATAAGGCAAGGTGATGACTTGCTGGATGAGGAGCCACTGGATGCCGTAGCCGAAGAGCCCCATGAAGGCGGCCATGAACATGACGGTCCACAGGGGGACGTACCGGAGCGACACGCCGGAGCACCACCCGAAGGCCTTCCCCATGTCGGACGCCACGGACAGGTAGTTGAGCTGCACCTGCGAGATCCCCAGCGCGGTCTTCATCGCGGACGAGTAGGACGAGAAGTCGAAGTTGGTCCCCGTGAACGCCTGCACCCACGTCGTCGCCACCAGTATCATCCACTTCCGCGACTGCCCCGCCATTTCCTTCCGCCCGCCCGCCCGACCGCCGGCACCGGCGCACACGCTGCTCTCTTCCTAGAGAGAGAGAGGGAGAGATCGAGAGAGAGAGCGAGGGAGAGAGAGGGGAGAGATTCTGGGTGGGAGTGGGAACGTGGGGGGAGAAAAATAGGGGAAGTTAGTGTTCCTATTTTGAGGTTGGACGCGATGTGGACGCTGCGTGCAAGCTCGGCGGGGCCATGTTCAAAGACGAGAAAGAAGGTTGGATATGAGTGCATATGTGCCTGTGGCAACAGGCCATGTTCAAAGAGAGAAAGATGGTTGTGGATATGAGTACGTTTGTGCTTGTAGGTCAAATCTTGAAAGGACGCTGTATCTGCGTGAGACACACACCTATATATGTACAATTAAATATATACATTTATATATATATATATAGACGCACACGTACACATATATGTACAATCATACATATACACATGTACATCCTCAAGACCGATGCCTAGATTTTTCGATGTTAGAATTGGGTCCTGATGTTTAATTCGAACAATACTCACGATCAGTAAAAATCGCACTGCAAGCCGTAAAGCTAATGTACAGATGCGATTGAATTCTAAACTTTTCAATTAATTTAATCAAGTTCGAAACTTTTTTTTTATTGAAAAAAAAATGCTTTCGAATTCTAAATCTTTATATTGATACAATGAAGTCCTAAATATCTACCGATAATATTCGATCGAGTCGTGAACTTATATTCGAAAGTGCATTTTAAGGTTGTCGTGCAGGCACTGTTCGAGTTCTATGTGGGCATTGTTAGGTATTGTTCATCCAAGGGACTATTGCACTTTTTTGAAAAAGGGTTTAGGATCGGGGTTGAATCTATGAAAACATTTAGGACTTAATTACATTTCGCACGTAAGGTTTGTGACTTGTAATGTATTTTTCACATACAATTATGTTAGAGTGGCAAGGTTTTCAAAAGGAGGTAAAAGACTGAATTTTAGGTTAATATTTTTAATAATGAAAACTAATTTTAAGTTGTTATAAGTAGTTTTGATACTCTAAACTCTTACTTATTATGTGCAAGCAATTTCATTCAGTTCAATAATGAAATATATATCCCGTTTGAATAATATCCAAATATTAATTAAGGCATATTTTTTTATATTATATGTATCATTTATGATAATTTTTAACTTAATTTAAAAAATCAATTGATTTGACATTTAATTTTTTTTTAAAATATCGATAGGGACAAAGTTCAAGAGCTGAGAGAATATTGGCTCGTATGCTTGTTATTTGACACTTCAATTTACCTCGCTGATTATCATGTAACGAGTCTTATGTCATAGTTTTGCCATGCGACAAACATTGGACAGAATACATCCCCAAGCTTCTATCTCCTGTTTGTTTAAATTATAATACGTATTTTATTTTAAATAATTTAATCAAAAAATAAACGTAATTTGACATTTAAATGGTTCGACAAATATAGATAAAAACTAAGTTCATGAGCTTTAGATTGTTGTGGTGTAACTTTTACCTTTTATGTCACAATTGGATTAAGCTAGAATTGATTTTTTAGTCGTAGCTACGACAAAAATCGGACTATACTTTTGTAATATTTTCTCAGTCTATGAAACATAATATTACGACATTTTTTCCCTTTATCAATTCTTTTGGAATTATAAATGTAATTGTTCGTTAGCACTCATCTCTTTCCTTATATCACATCTCCACTAAATAATGTCACTAGTGATTCGAAATCACAAATTGGAATATGCCGGTGCAAAGCGCGGGTCGAGTAATTAGCTAAATTTTAAGCTTTGAATCGATAATTTAACATATTTGACCTTCATAGCTTGCCCATATAAATTACCCTAGTCAACGATTTGTGTGGCCGGAAATGAAAACTAGCTCGAATACATTAAAAGTATGATGAAAACATTCGCGTAAATTGAAATTCAATTCACGTGACCAAAATTAAATGCGGATAAGTAATTAAAAGACAATGGTCGGTTGGTGGCTGGAGAGAATCAGCTGCAATCAATGAAATATGCTCATTCTCGATTTGATTCCTAATCCCACGTCTGGTTTTAAAGTAGAAGAATTAATGTCTTTATAGTATCAATTATGAAACTTAGGTAATAGATATTATTAGCGAAAATTACCAATATAGTCCTAAACCTATTGCAATTGTGTCAATTCAGTCCTCAACCTTTTACATTTGTGCCAATTCAGTTAATCAAGCTAATGCTGACGTGGCAATTTTTAGATATTTTTCAAATTTTTATTTTATTTTTTTTTCACTTTTTTTTTACTCCCTTTCGGGCGAGTTCAAGCCTTGCCAGCAATAGTGAAGATGAGCTTTCACCATGCGTAGGCGAGGCTCGAACTCATCGGCCCTTGCCTCTAGCCAATCACGGGTTCCAAAGACTGGCTAGAGGTTGAAGATGAATGGAGGAAGAAAAAAAAAAGAAAGGAAAAGAAAAGAAAGAGAAAAGAAAAGAAAAGGAAAAATAAAAAAAATTTAAAAATTGCCATGTCAACCCAAAATTGGCCGAATGAACTGAATTTGCGCAATTGCAATAGGTTTAGGACTGTTTTGATAATATTCCCGATATTATTATATTTTATAATCATGTCTAAGTAAGGGAGGAAGTAATTACGATACGAACAGAAATATCATACTTTTGCTTTGCAGACTTTGAAAACTTAAATAGTAAACTCAAAGTTTATTTTTTTTTTACCAATAACATGAAAAGACAACTAATTTTGAACTTCATCAAAGTCACAATAATAGTAATAACGACGACAATAGATAGATAGATGGTTTATCGCGGTAAAGTTATAGTGAAAATTGAGATTTATAGTACTAGCTTTTGGTGGTTTGTCATCTTCTTTTTGGACATGTATATGATACATCCTACTTATTCCAAGACCAAAGCATCAATGCAATCCATTTCTCAGCCAAACTCAGCTAAATACAATCTGCCGCAGTTGCATCGTGCAAAGAACCTTTGCTTCAACTTCTGATACAGCTTCTTTTAGGGTTTTTTCTGTTGCGTTTTTCGATGACGATACGGCGACATATGTCCAAAACCAGGTTTTCTGAATTTCGACATTAACTTGCGATCGTCCAAAACCCTTCTGCATCTAACGTTCAACGACTTTGTCAGGGGTCAGATGGCTCGGTTGGTACAGTGGCGACTTTTGATATCGGATAGCACGATGCATGGCTGACGCAGGGTCTCGTGTCTCAAGACATTCCGTTGTCCCAGGCACGGAAGGGACGCACTCTTCTTAACATAGCATACAGCACTATATGATATGGTGAAGGACAATAAAATAGCTACATCCAACTTGGCCAAACGGTACATAAACAAATAGCTTATCCGAGGCTGAATTTGGATCGTCCGGGCCAAAACGGGGCAAGGCATTTATGAACCCACCTGAGCTCAGCGCATTTGATCGAGGCGTTGGGGGATTTTCAGGTCAAGAACTACACGTCGCCCGTCCGAAACCCACCGGTCCCGCGCGCAAACGGTTACGAGTCAAGACCTCCTGCACAGGTTAAAGGCCCGAACTTACGCGGTTTATGGGACTTGTGATAGGGTGCTTCGCGAGCGTCCAGGGAGTCGGCCCCTCACGCTCATGCCTCGAGATTAAAATAGAGTATATTACAACAGACGGTTGGTCAGTAAGCTGAGACTCCCAACGAACTTTCTCCAGGGTTACACACAGAAGTCAAGCAAAGCCGTCTTGGAGATGGCAATGAAGGGTCTTGTTCATTTGTTTGCTTGTGTTGCTCTCACTTCTGAGGGCAGTAGCTAGAAAAATCTAGTTGCAGAAAGGCCTTCTGGTGCGATGTAGCTTTTGTTGTCCTGGTGGGTGCTCTCATTTGATTTAATTAGTGGGCCACGTTGGAGGACAGACATCTTGGTTTTCTTAAGATAATCACTGTGGTGCACGCAAATTGACCGGATGTGCTGGTTCCGATGCTTTTTGGGAGGCTAACTTCAATGGGACGAGACTTTTTAGTTAGCTCCACGCTTTTTGTCTTAGCTAACTTTCCTTCTCCAAGACCGCTTTGTGTAACAAACATTTGGATGAACTTGCAAAGAAAACATTGAAGCTTTCGAGATCTGTTTTATCTTTAGATTAATCTCGGGAGAAGCACAGAATCAGTACCTAACATCTTCGAACTTAACATTTGAGTCCTTATCGTACTGTGTTGATAAGACGAGTTTTTAATGTAAATCAAGTTCTATGCGCGTCGTCGGTGTCTCTCACGTGACCTTTTATAATGTCAAGTAGCCGCCGCCGTAGAGCCGCGTAGGATATCGGGTATCGTGACTCCACATATGGCAAGCTTAGGATTTGATCGCATCTTTTTATAAAACATCGAGAACTCAATTGACCGAAATACATGGTTAAGGACTCAATCGACCAACGGGACACAACGTTAAGAACCAATCTTATACTAACCTTGCTTAATCTACATTCTGAACGTTCATGAGAGAGACTGTAATAGGAAAGAATTGCAGTTTCGAGCCAAACATAAATGAAATGTAATGAATCCTTAATTCCACATGTTTCTGTACGGAAAAAGACAAGGCATGATCACACGAAGGATGCTACGAAATGATATGCGGTACTTAATAGGAATGATTTTGGCCCCCATGAAGGAAACTTGAGGAATAGCTGCCTCGTTTTCTCACATCCTCTCGATCTTGTAGTGATCGAACCTTTTGATTTCTTATGATGTAATAGACATAATAATTGTAACGGATACAGAAGGACGCATATACGGAGCTACGCGGAATACGAACTCGCGGAATACGTTTCATCTTAGCGTGCCTCAACGCATTAATTGTTTTCTGAGAGATCATGAGAATGTCGAGCGCAAGTAAAAGTGAAAGTAAGTTGGAGTGGTACACACAGGGAAGAACTTGCTAGTGAAACGATGTTGGGACGAGCCCGCGTGATGGCCTTCATCAGATTCATCATATTGTTTTTGGTACATTCTGGTCAAGTAGTCATTAGACCCGTCTAACAGGTGGATTGGGTCGGATCGGGTCGTAAACAGTTTGACCCAAATTAACTCATTTAACCCATTTTTATGTAATACAAATCCAATGACCCAACCTATACCTGATCTACCCATATTATTAAAACACTTTTATATTTAACTCAATTTAGGAAAGTTCATACCCAAATCAAGATGAGA